ACATGTAGATGAGAATTAATGAGTCATCCTCAGACACATGTAAATAGAATTATAGCTAGGATCAGGGTTCTTACTTTTAGCGCATTGGTAGCTCTTCAAACAGTAAACATTCAAGCTGTAGGAAATTAAGCATATTATCATCAGTCCATGTGTTTTGGAATAGAAGACTCGACGACGGTCATGAGAGAAAGCAAAAGACTTACGAGTTGTTTGTCACTGAAGAAGAACTTGCGAAGAGATTCCTATAAGCCACATGCATGATGAACAAGAAACCATGAGATTCCTTGTGAAGTACGTATCAAATGACAATTTTCATTCTTACCATGATCTACTTACATTCTTTCAAAAAAACATTCCTGAGTGTTTGTGTCTTCGGAGAAATTGTTGTAGGATAGATCACTGCAGAAATTGTTTTTTAAAAAAGAAGAATGGGAACAGAGAAGATTTTGTGTGCATCAAATTTTGACCCAAAAAAAATATTAGGGTTAGGTGAGTGAAAAAACTTACATTGTATCTCTATCTTTTTCCTTTACCATCCAATTTGGGACCGACCCATTTAACATATTCCCGGTCAAATAGCTGCAAGAATACACATTAATTCAACAGAGGAATTCTCAATTATGACAAAACCACTAAAGAGGGAAGAGAGAAGCATGTCATACAAATTTTTCACATCTCTAAGTTCAGTATATGTGCTGGGGATTGGTCCACTCAGTTGATTAAAGCTAAGATCTCTGCAAATGGTTTATCATACTCTTTAAGTTAGTTACTAATTTTTACCAATTGTACAAATCATTTGATACTTGAATGGTACGATAAGTATATATATATATGCTTACAAGTTTTCCAAGAGAGTAGCATTGGTTCCAAGGAATGAAGGTAGCTCTCCTGTAAGATTACAATTCCGAAGAATCCTACAAGATAATAAACAATGGACGAATAAAACTTCTAAAAATCTTATATTAAAGAACCAGAAAGTTCTGCGACTTACAATGTTTTCATCTTTGAGATGTCGTGTAGCAGGGGAACGGGAGATCCTGGTCCAGTCAAGTCGCTGATCCTTAGCTCCTCCAACTTTGTGAGACCAGCAATTGAAACTGGTATGGGTCCTGACAAACCACTTCCATGGCTCACCCTGATGGAGTCACAAACATATAAGTTATCATAAACACCTAATATAATGGAAAAGAAAAAAAAAGTGATCGGTCGGATATAACAGCCAAAAAACATATAACATGGTCTTACAGACTCTCAAGTTCTGTCCAATCCCCGATGAAATCTGGAATAGATCCTGTGAGACTGTTGTCGCTTATACGGCTGCATGTTAATAAAACCAAACAAATCAGAATGTTCATACATATATATATATATATAGATTAAGGAAATTACTAGAACTTGTTTGTGCAAGGATATTACAAGTCGGTCAAGTTGGTCAGTTTGCCAAAGGTAATTGGAATATCCCCGCTGAAGTTATTTGAGCTAAGAAACCTATACACAAGGAGGGGAAATTTTAAACATGGATTAATTTATGTTTCATTACAACATAACCAACAACAAAAATGGAAGGACGACGACTCTTACAGTCGTTGAAGGTTTGATAGATTCCCAAGTTCTGGAGGTAATATCCCGGATAGCTGATTGTATTCCAAGACACTAACATAACAAACTAACTCATGAGTAGTTACCATTGAAAATGAACTATTTCAACCACTAAGATTTAAGAATCAACTCACAGTCTTGTAAGAGTAGTAATGTTTCCGATCTCTTTGGGAATTGGACCACTTAGACGGTTTCCAAGAAGTGTGCTGCATGCATGTGTTTCATAAACAACATATGAAAAATGATACTCGTATGGATTATTTTCACATATAATACATCCACATAAAAGAATGTCCTTACAGGTTGACAAGTGGCAAAGCTCCCCATTCCGGAGGTATTGAACCGTTGAGATAGTTTCTCGCGAGATTTCTGTGAAGGAAGAGTGACAATTAAGTTACGTTAGACAAATTGATGCACTAATTCATAATTTGTAAAACGATTAGTTTTCGCTTACATCTCTTGGAGGTAAGGAAGCCCTACAAACTCCTTTGGAAGAGACCCTTGAAGGTTTTGTGTCTTCAAAAGTCTATATATGTAAGAAATGAAAACAAAGAAAATATAATGAGCTTTAGATCATAGACCTAATGAAAGAAGAAAAAACAAAATACCCATCAAAATATCAAATGGTACATGCTAGTGACATGGCAAACGGTTCCATTAAGGAAAGAGCAATCGCAAGTGACGGCGTCTTCAGATCCTTCAACAGGGTTAGGGTTTCTCCATCCACCTACATTCGATGCAACGTCACATGGGTTCACGTTAAAATTCCATGTGGTCTTCTTTAAGGTGTTCCCTATAATCCTCAAGGCCTCCACTACAAAAAGATATCACACGACGAATAAACATCATTAAGCACATAAATGATATTTGAATAGGTATGTATATAACCTAACTAGGTCGGTCTATGTATACCTTCTTGCGTGGGCAAAGTTGCAGACTGTGCAAAACCAATGAAGGTAGAGACTATAAGGCAAATGAAGAGAAACCATACGAGAGATCTTGTTTGTGACACCATTTCTTTTGGTTAAGTCAAATTTAGATACCTATAAAAACCTTTCTACTTATTACTTATAGTCCTTTAATTGATTTATTGTCATCCCTTTGGATTTTAATTGCAATATCTTTTCAATCAATTAATTAATCTTTTCCTCTATTTTTTCAAATTCTATAAATGGACAAGGCTTAGATCATCCAAGGAAAAAAATGAGAAACACAAATACAGCAAGATGAGGAAAACAGGATATTTCAATTTTTATTTGAAAATCTTGGTATTTAATAAAATATCTCTTTTGCCATTTTTAGCTATCATATGTATTGTCATCTCATTTGAAGATTTTGAAAATACAGTATGAGGAAACGATACGTACGTCAACCTTATGCATCTAAATACCAAACTAATTATAAAACATTTTAAAATCTTTTTTATTAAAATTATTACTATAGAGTATGAGGAAACGATACGTATGTCAACCTTATGCGTCCATTGGGATTTTTTTTTTTTTTTTTTCTGTTTACCTTTATTCTCGAGTCAGAGTTACAATTCTTATCCATAAAGGTTCCTAAAATCAAACGAATTAATTTTTTTTTAATGTAATAATTGTCAAAATTCATATTAACACAGTCATTATACTAAAGTTCAATTATTTTAAGATGACAAAAACATTCAACTAATTTACATATTTTCAATTTAGGTTTATGAGTTTTTGACTATATATATATATATGCAAAATTTTGGACATTTATGTACATGTTGTGTTTGGACATGATTGTTTTCTATTTTCTAATCGATATGATGGCATTTTTCATAATATATTAACAGCCAGCCATATACTTGAAATAATCATATTCGAACATTGAAACAATCATATTAGATTTGCTCGTATGGTAAATATAATATTTTTCCATCATTTGCCATGTAGTAAGTGTGTAAGGTTTTTCTTTTATTTACATACTTTTAATGAACTAAAATTGCTTAACTGATATTTTTTTTTGGAACAAAATACTTGCATTAGCAAACTGATTTCTAAATTCATATTTAATATAGTTTTATCATCCCTCATGAGTTCTCTACATATTCCATTATCAATAAGGTCATTTTTGTGATTAGTATATATGATACTGATATTAAAGTCATTAATTTTGTGTTTAAGTTTTAAAATAAACAAACGAGAACAAATTTTTCAGTTCCCGTTTGTTACTCCAATAGAAGTTTTCAAATCTCATCCAAAAATTTGAAGTAAATGTAACAAATATATATATATATCTATATTTAATTTTATTGTCACAATTATAGTATTATACATATAAAACATTATACTAAAATTCAATTAAGTTATGCATTTATCATATTTAGGTTATGATTTTTACTATATGAAATGAGTATGCAACTTTGAGGATTTTTTGTGCATTTGTTATGTAAATTTTGAGCATTTGTTAAGCAAAAATTGAGCATTTTTGTGCTTGTTTGTCTTTAATTATTTATTACATAGTACAAATACATATTACCAAATCAAAAGGATGTTTGTCTTTGTCTGAAAAGTTTTCAGTGTCTTAAAGCCAAAGTATACAAGCATGAAGAAATATAAACTATATATGTTTCCTAACCTATCTTCTTGCTAAATGCTAACTCAGCGGTACCAAAACTTATAAAAGCTTGGGGAGACGGCTTTTTGAAGCAATTATCAGAACAATCAAAACAAGGCAACAAAGAGTTTCTGAACGAGATTGGCATGATATCCGCTCTGCAACATCCATCTCTAATCAAGCTTCATGGTTGTTGCGTTGAAGAGCGTCAACTCTTACTTGTTTATGAATACTTGGAAAACAACAGCCTCGACTATGCACTTTTTGGTTAGTAATTCATCTTTCAGTATCACATTTTCATGTTTCCATTATAGATGTTATTCTGAATTTAACCAAATTTTTTAAAACCAAACCTTAACAAATTGAATAAGTTCACGCATTCAAATATATACATAGTAGAAGTTATAGTTTTACTTCGTCAATTTCTCACAAACATCTTCCCAAAATCTGTAATCAGAGTCTCTCTTCTCTTTTTACATTCAGACCTGAATGGTAATGCGATCAAAACATTTTTTAATGGATGGAATGCTATACCTATAAATATAATATCCTAAAAAATAGAGAGGTAAACGTATAATGTTGTCCTAGACTCCTTCTAGTAACTATATAACACAACTTTAGAACATAGCCAATAACAAAATGAAGATTTTAGTTTCAATACCAACAAAAATTCATAATATTATCAATGTGGTGCATAACAGACATATAGAAGCTTAGATCAGTATTAATATTGCACATTCTAATCATTAATACTATTACTAGTAATCAAGAAAATCACTTCACTTCTTGTTTTAATTTTCCCTATATTTCTAGAGTGATTCACGAAAAAAAAAGAGAGATGAATATACGTTAATATGAAGAGAATGTTTAATCATACATACATAAAAGTTCATAATATTAAAATAGCAAAAAAAAAAGATTTAATAAAAATCGGAAAATTAAAATAAGAAAAAAAGACAGCTGGGCCAAGCTAACCGAGCATGTGTGTCTCATCCCCATCATGACCTGTCTCCGGTGGTGGTCGTGGTGGTCGTGGTGGCGGCGTAACGGCGGAGATCAAGGCATTCAAAGCTCGAATCTGCATCTCCATGGCAACAATATAATCGGTGGTCTCTTCCAAAACCACAGGTAACGGTTGTTTCCGGCAACCTGGGATTAACCGGCTAAGCAACTTCACCTTCCTCTGTACAGCTGGCAAACCTCTCCCCTTCAACCTCATAACCGTCGCTCTTTTTTTCCTTAACCGGTTATTAACATTCCCGGTGGTTATCGAAGCATTCGAATCTCTAAACCGGTTCTGTTTCCGGAACTTGAGTTTCACGGCTTTAGACAATATAGCTCTGCTCCACAGTGTTCTTCCTCTAGCCGTAACCGCCAACGATCTATAAGCTGCGTCACGTACGGCTACACCTCCGCCGCGAGGAGACGGCTTGGCGGCGGCTGAGCTAATCCGGAGCTCTCTTAAAGATTGAATGATATTAGTAGAGTAGATCTGTTGCTGCTTCTCCGATCTCCATTTCTCAACAGATGACTGAGACGGTCGTTGCGGTTGCGGTTGCGGAGAGGGATGCTTCTTCTTACGTCTACGCCGTGATTGATCGTAAGAAACAGAGGTTTGATTAGTCACCGGAGAAATCGACTCCATGTTTCATAAAAAAAATCAAGAACCAATAAACTGAAACTGCACAGAGAGACAAAACAAGATTAGAGATAAGATAAGAGAGGTTAGAAGGTGATTAGAGTATTAATTACATTAGGAGGAGGAGGAGGAGAAGGTGAGACGTCAACAATAAAAGAAAGAGAGAGTATTGGGTTATGATGTTTGTTATGTGGATGGAGGAAGAAAGAAAGAAAGAATCATCTCTTTATTTATTTTTAAGCAAAAAGGAAAGGTAATGGAGGATTCGATTTTTATATTATCCTTTTTTTCTCCTATCCATGTGATCTCCACTCTTCATCATATCTCTTTCTTTTTTATAAAAATATTATCATCATTAATGTTGACTATATTAAAATAGTATTTAGTAAATTTACCAAAATGCTTGTTTAAGTTCTTGTTATAGGTTGACAAAAAAAACAATATAATGAGAGTTGTTATGCGTATCTTTAAATTTTGGTTTTGTTTAGTCAAAAATACGTTACGCCAAAGAAATGTTTCTATTAATTCACGATTTTTTTTTAGACATTATAATTATGCAGACACCAAATAAAATGATGGTAGAACTTTGATTACCCAAAAAGATATTCGATTTGTTATATTACCTTTTTTATTACTGTACAGTACACAATAGAGTGTCCGATTCGTCGTACACATTCTTTTTCTGGTACGTACGTACGTGAACTGGTTGTGTTCGTTCAGTTCCTTTTAGACTTACAAGTAGTGAACTACGTATTAGTGTTGTAATAACATTGCGTCTGCTTATCCTTGTATCACACTCCATGATTGTAACTTGGATCGATGGTCACAAATAATTAAAAACTCTTGTAATCATATTTTTACGGGTTTTACGACAGGTGAATTAATTCTAATAACATAATAGACTACTATGTTTTCGTTGCCTTTCAGTTGTATAAAAATCTTAATTTTTGAGTTGGATGAACATTTAACTGGATCCAGTCCTCACCAATGTAGGCGTAGGCTTAAAATTAGTAATCGGAATTCGGAAGTGGCTGTGAACTTCTTTTCTCTTCTTTTTATTTCTAAAAAAGTTTCCAGTAATTAGAAAGATTACGTAGTTGTTGTAGGTACATAAACCTTATGGTCGATATCAACTTTATCACGAAACTTTTACTTTGTGTAAAACACTAATATCTGGACATATGTTGTCATTCATTGTGCAAGGCGTTGATCATATCTTATAATATTATTAGTCTAAAAGATATTTTCAAATTGAAAAAATAAAAGGAATATACGTTTATTTTTTCCTTTCATTTATGATTTTGCCATCAAAATTGTTATCTAAAAATAAAAGTGAAAACATCTACACAAAGTACCTTTCTTAATCGCACTCCCATGGACCAGTCTATGAATTTGTTTTTTTCATGTATCAAAAAAGTTATTTAAAACCTGTATTGTCAACTTTATTTTTAAATTTGGACAGATTAATTTCCTTATTTAGTTGCCCATATAATATGGTGGAGAAGAATGCATATTTGTTATTGTTACGATATGCGATCTATTTTTGATTGATCAAGCATGTGGTTTCGAATTTAAATCAGAAATTGATCAAAAATTCACAAAACAAAGCAAAACTTAATTACTAGAGGAGACTGGCCACTACAACAATTTTAAGTTTAACCAACCCGACGCGACCAATCTACCTCCTCAAGTTTAAACTACTTAAGTTTCCTAAAAAACCATGACTGACACCAGCTCATAAATGCTACTTTCAACACAGAATTTAATTAGCGGCAAAACACCCCTTTATCTATCTCTATGGCCTTTTGCTTCTACAATTTTTATATGGCCGTTTCGTTGGGACTTTACTTCTACAGCATGCATGTTACCATCCCGAATATGTGGTAATCTAAACCGGACAAAGATTTTAAAAAACTTTTTAAAACATATTTCTCAATCAGTGTGAGCAAAAGAAATTGTTTTCCACTTCCATACAAAACGTCGCTCAGTCATAAAGAAGCGAGCAAATACTTCCAACGATCTTTATGCGAACCTCACCCTCATCACGGGTTCTTGTCTAGTCCCACATGACCCGCATTTTAATTTTATCCAAATCAGATAAAGATTTTTTTGGACAGAAAGATATATAGATTCCAAAGTAATATTCTTGAAAGATGGAGTAGAGATCTCTGGCTTCAGAGTTTCAAACTTTGAAAGACAAAAAGGTCTTAGTAGACCATTGGAGAATTTGTTTTATCCTTTTTTTCTAAAAAGAAACATAACTGATACAAAATAAAAACAACCCTTACAATTCTAATGAAAATCACCTAGAAAACGCTAGAAAGGAGATTAGCAGCTGTGGAAATGGCTGCTCCGGTGAGAGCAGACTGGACCACCTGCTCATGGCTTGTCCTATCCGAGGTCGTCATAGCCATTGCCGCCCCTGTCAATGCTCCAGCCACCGCGCTGTTCTTCTGTCATATATATAAATATAGGTGCATGTAAATATCAACAAGGGAACATGTTAATAGATTAATTATTTGTTCACTGATTAAACAAAATGATACAAATTAATAGGTTACTCACCCAATCATGAGCTCCTCCCCGAACTTCCTTCATACCGTAAGTGATACCTGAGTACAACCCAGCTGCTAGCCCTACAATTCCCAAACCTTAAAATCATTAAAAAACTCTTTCCAACGTTAAGTTTTGAAATCTTAATGTAAACAACTACTTATATGTATATATATAAACTCACCCCATTGGAGAGACTCTTTTCCCGTGTTCTTCACCTAGAGGCCAACCAAATTTCAATACATTTAGTAAACTAGTAAGAAACCTTACCTACGTTGTCATGTTTTCAACATGTATGGACCATGGACACAACCCACGTCTGGGTGAATAATATTTAGCGTACGTACGACTATATATAAAAAGGTAATAAATAAAACTCACCAAGGCATCTAGAGATTTGCTGCTTTCCCCTGATAACAATAACAAGGATAAACATTACTAACATAACATAAGGCTGATTACATAAGATCACGAACCAAATACTATACAAATATATACAACGGACCTCTGAGATTAGGGAACCTATGTTTCTTGCTCTCCGACGGTGGACCGACGTTGTTCGAGTCAAACCCTGCCCCTGTTTTTATTCATTTCGACTCACATATTATATATTTTCGTTACTTACAAATTTCAAGGAATGAAGAAACTCGTCGGAGTGCTTACCATCAACCACCGTAAAGTAAGCTTCCCTTGACACGGCTTGCAAAGCTCCCACCTTCATTAGTAATCCATGTTAAAACTATGTTAACACACATATCTACCGGAAAATATATGTAATGAAAAACTTACTCCGGCGGCTTTGACGAAGGAATCAGCGATACGGTTAAGAAGAGGATGACCAAGATCGAACAAGTGTGCCTTCTCAAAGCTTCTTATCTCATCCATCACCATTCTTCCTCCACTCTTCTCCATTTTTTTTTTAATCTTTCTTGCTTTCTCTATCTTTTCAGTTTTCACTGTTAATACTTCTCTCTTCGACAACAAGTAAGGAGAAGTATGTGGAACAGAACAGAGTTTTTAGGGCACGTGTTCTGTTTCTCCACACGTGTCGGAGTCTGCCGTTTGAACTGTTCGTCAGTTCTCCTTCCCACGTGGCTCTCACTGGATAATAACGTCAGACAGACCGAGAAAATAAAAATAAGGCCCAATGGGCTCAAAGATAGATATTACAAACCGGGAATTTTGAAATCTCCGGTTCAGAGACGAGAAACGTGCCACGTGTCTTCTCCGCTTTGATATCTCCGCCTCTGCTCGTCGGAGTGAGACCTTCACTACTTGTCATCTCCGTCACTTCCCTCTCTCTCTCTCTCTCTACAGATCTCTCTATCTAACACAATGCAATCAGCTCTCTCTCTTTCCTTCTCACAAACATCGCTTCCTTTAGCGAATCGTCCGCTTTGTTCATCTAACGTAGCGCCTTCTTTTACGCCGAGAAATCTCCGGTTCTGTGGACTCCGGCGAGAAGCGTTTGGTTTCTCTCCGTCGAAGCGATTGACCTCGTGCCGGTTTCAAATTCAGAATAGGAGGTTCGAAATCTCCGCCTCAGCTGGAAATGGAGCTCCGTCGAAATCTTTCGATTATGATTTGATCATTATCGGAGCTGGAGTTGGCGGCCATGGAGCTGCATTACACGCCGTTGAGAAGGTCTGCTTTTTAATCAGGATTATAATTTGCCAATTTCTGATTCAAATTGTTACGGATAACTTTAATGCCAGAACACGAATCGAATCGTCCTTAGCATGATTGTTCTTGGAGCGAATTTGAAACTCTTACTAACATTTCTGGTACACTATTTCCTGATTGAGCCGGAAAATTTTGGAAATTTGCTTGTTAGTGGAATCATATGCTTTTTTTGATAGAAACGGTACAACGATGATGAGTGGATGACTTACTATCTAATTACCGTGTTTTCTTTCTAATGCTCATGATCTCATCAAGTGAATTGTTGTTTTGCTAACGTTGTATAGGGACTCAAAACTGCAATCATTGAAGGAGATGTTGTTGGAGGGACTTGCGTTAACAGAGGCTGTGTGCCTTCCAAAGCTCTCCTTGCTGTTAGTGGTAGGATGCGAGAACTACAGAACGAACATCACATGAAGGCATTTGGTCTGCAGGTAGTTTGCACTGCTGTCAAATGCAATCGTAGACTCTCAAGTTTGATCTCATATAATTGTGAAGCAAGTTTTATCTCCCTGGCCTTGACTCTTGCTCCACTGTCTCCCCTGGATAACAGGTTTCTGCTGCCGGTTATGACCGTCAGGGTGTGGCTGACCATGCAAGTAACCTTGCTACCAAAATTAGGAATAATCTCACCAATTCTATGAAGGCACTTGGTGTGGACATATTGACAGGGTTTGGCGCTGTTCTGGTCAGTATGTTATTGTCTTTGGTTGACCAACTAACTCCACATAATACGTCGTTGTTATTTGGTGATCCTTATACTCTTTAGTCTATTTTTCACTTGAGCAGGGCCCACAAAAGGTTCAATATGGTGACAATATTATTACCGGAAAAGATATAATCATTGCAACTGGATCTGTACCGTTTGTCCCGAAGGGAATTGAAGTTGATGGTACGTGTTTTGTTTTAAACATGTAAAAGCCAGGGGAGAAACCTCAAAGACCAAAACTTTTCATCTCTTTTAGTATAGCAAGTACCCTAATATTTCCTTATATTTTGTGATGCAGGAAAGACCGTTATCACAAGTGACCATGCATTGAAATTGGAGTCCGTTCCTGACTGGATTGCGATAGTAGGAAGTGGTTATATCGGTCTTGAGTTCAGTGACGTTTACACGGCCCTTGGAAGTGAGGTAACATATTGATTTTGTCTTAGTGATTTGCATTGGTATAATAGTGTGATATTTTTGTTTTCTCTTTAGTTTTCTGTTTTTTTTTTTAATAGTAACAAAGGCTCTTAGGATGCTGCTCTATTGGTATTCCAGTCAAACTATAAATGAATTATTGCTATGTTTCAGTATACTAATGTTTGCAATGCACTACAACTTTGGGAAGTGACCAAGCTCAGAATAACTCTTTTTGCAGGTAACTTTTATTGAGGCGCTAGATCAGCTGATGCCTGGATTTGATCCTGAGATCAGTAAGCTGGCTCAAAGGGTTCTGATAAATCCAAGAAAGATTGACTATCATACTGGAGTGTTTGCAAGCAAAGTAAATCTTTTTGACTTATTTTAAGTAAGATCTCGTCCTTATGCTGTGGGTTTACGGGATTTTATTTTCTCTTAACTCTTCTTTACAGATCACTCCAGCAAAGGATGGAAAGCCAGTGATGATTGAGCTTATTGATGCCAAAACCAAGGAACCCAAAGATACTTTGGAGGTAACAAATTGTTGTGCAGCTTTCTAAAATCTTACTAAAGAGAATAATTGTTCAGTTATGATATTATAACGCTATTACTATATTGTGACGCTATTACACGGCCGTTGGAAGTGATGCTATTACTACTTTTTTTGCTTCTCACCACAATATTGTGATGCTATTACTATTCCCACATCGGCTCGCCACATACAAGTACCCAGTAATTGCCAAAAAGAAAATGAATGGAAACGTCTTTGATTTCCATCACAACTGGACTGTTCATTTTGTGCTTTTTTCTGCACTTAGAGTGTGACTTTATGTTCCTTTTTCAAGGTGGACGCTGCTCTTATTGCTACTGGAAGAGCTCCATTCACCAATGGACTCGGCCTGGAAAATGTATGATTTGATAAATAAATGTGTTATTTTTCATTTTGGTTCATCGAGGAGCTCATTTGGTTATGAAAGAAATAACCTTAGAGCTATGTTTTCTACACAGATCAATGTTGTGACGCAGAGAGGTTTTATACCAGTTGATGAGCGAATGCGGGTGATCGATGGAAATGGAAAGATGGTTAGTGATAAATTCAAATGCACACCGTATTTCTTAGCAGTATTATTTTTTTAATGTACCAGTCCACTCTTGGTTGATAGGTTCCACACTTGTACTGCATCGGTGATGCCAATGGTAAATTGATGCTCGCTCATGCAGCCAGTGCCCAAGGAATTTCTGGTAAATGGACTATCAATGTTCCACTATAAATGCATCCATCTTTTGACCTCTTCTTTTACACACTATTATATTTGATCGGCCACTTATTAAACTCTGTGCATCTACTTGTGTTGGTTAGTGGTGGAGCAAGTCACAGGAAGAGATCATGTGCTTAATCATCTTAGCATCCCAGCTGCTTGTTTTACTCATCCTGAAATCAGCATGGTGGGATTCACAGAGGTACCTCTAGACACCCTTTGTGGATTGATGTTTTAAAAAAAAAGTGTCACCGTAACCTTAAATATTTCGGTAATCTCTGCAATTCCAGCCTCAAGCCAGAGAAAAAGGTGAGAAAGAGGGATTCAAAGTAAGTATTGCCAAAACAAGTTTCAAGGCAAACACAAAGGCCCTAGCCGAAAATGAAGGAGAAGGAATTGCAAAGGTAGGGAGAAGAAACTAAATCGAATAACGAAAGAAAGTTGTTTACAGTCCTCGAGTTACCAAGAAAGATATCTGAACACGTCTCTTTTATGTGCACAGATGATATACAGACCTGACAATGGTGAAATCCTTGGAGTACATATATTTGGGCTGCATGCTGCTGATCTTATCCATGAAGCATCTAACGCGATTGCTTTAGGAACACGCATTCAGGTAATCTTTGCAGCTGCAAACCAACCTAGCTCTGAATATGATCACTGGTGGTCTTTATATTGTGATCTCTTTTTGTCTGATCTTTTAACGATGACAATGCAGGACATAAAACTTGCTGTTCATGCACATCCAACGCTGTCCGAAGTTGTTGATGAACTATTTAAAGCAGCCAAGGTAAATACAAGAATCTAGACCTGCATTTTCTATTCTATAGACATCAGATCTCGATTCAGAAGCAACCAACTCCTACTTTATCTAAATTTCAGGTTGACAGTCCCGCTTCAGTAACAGCACAAAGTGTAAAAGTGGCTGTATAAACAAGAAATATTAGAAAGCAGCCTGTAAACAAAAGTTTTGTGGAAGAAGACATTTGTACTTTACCATATTTGACGAAGGACAAAGATTGAGTCTCACATTTCATCACGTATGTTTGTTTCATTTCTTTAAACTGTACTCTTAGATTTGAGAAGAAAAAACAAACAGATTGTGACAGACACATAACTGAAATATTTTTATTATAAGTCAGAGATCCTCGAAAGATAGGAAACAGTCGAACAAGAGAATTTGATAGACAGACTAAAAAACGTTTTAGCTTTTTAGCGTCAAATCTCACAAAGTCACTTAAGAGGAGCAGCAATACAAGACTACTTCACAATCCCCCGAAACAAAAGAGAAAATACTAACGACAAGACGCTCTATGGCAATCTCCCAGCTCCAGGATTGATTTACCATATTTACCCTTTTTGAAACTTTTTTGAAAACAGCTTCTAACAGGTCGAAATAGCCCCCTCGTCATTTACACAAATTTACAGTTCCACCACACCACATTACCTCCTCTTCTTCATTGTTGCATTCAGCTCTCCTCCATAGCCATTTGATCAAGTTCTTGCATCCCATCATACTCCAGCTGTGTCACGTTTTAGAATTTCAACATAAATTAACAATCAAGCTTTATTTGAACTGAGCAGAGGAAAACAGAAAGAAGTAAATGTGACTTCACCTGAGCTTCTTCATGAGCCAGTTTCATCCTTCTGTAATCTTGCTGAGCCTTCTTGGACCGGAACATGGCCTGGACTTTAACCACTGACCTCTCGAGCCGGTCCTCTGCTTGTTTCTGGCTTGTCTTGTAGAAATCCTCAACTTCCTCATCCCCTTCCTTCTTCTCAGGTTGGCTAACCTGAAGCCCTCTGAATCCTTTTCTCTTCAGTCTCCACCTCAGAATCGCCTTCTCAAGAACTCCCACCGACCATGTTATTTTCTGGTATTGTCTTCTTACTTGATACCCTCTAAATGCAGCCTGCAAAACATTCGCATATTTAAAACCACAGAGCAGTTTTGTACGGTTGCAGATATTTTTTCGTCTCTTATCAAAGATGGTATATAAATTAGCATTTTTGTTTGTACCTGGATTCTAATTGCCTTATTCCGCATGTTCAAAAACTCCCGCCTCATTTTCCATGTTTGGAACCTATACTGAATTCGAGCAGCGGCTGCAATCTTTCTACGTGTCTCGAAATTGCGAAAAGCATGCTGAATCTTCATCGCGGCTATTATGTTTTTGGCTTCTTCTTCCTTGCTAGCAAACCTAACTGCGCTTGACCTAACTTTAAGCTCATGCTCCCTGAACGCTCCCTGAATCCGTGCCGCCGCCTCTGCAGCGGTTCTGTATGCCGCCAGAGTGTCCTTCAGGCTCTGCTCCTCTTCATTTGCATTCCCTGGATTCGAAGACTGCTCTGCCTTGATGGTTTCAAGGTTGCCACTGATGTTTCCAGCCACTTGCATGTCTTTGAACTGTGCTACAAGACATTTCTCAGCAAGAAAAGCTGCTAAACCGTCATAACCTTTCTGCTGTGCCAGATCAGCTGGCGTGCAGCCGCCGAGGAATTCCTTAGTAGGGTCTGTCACCAGGTTTGGCCTTGCCCCGGCAGACAGAAGAGCAGCCACCATTTTCTCCCTTTAAAAAAAAAAACGTGGAAAAGAAATTAATCAAATAAACGGAAATAAGATTAGTGAATTTCGTATTATACTTAAAAGATGCAAGTTAGTTTACCTTCCATAGTAGGCTGCCCAATGAAGAGCCGTCCAACCATGCTTATCACGGAAATCCAACGATATATTTGCCCAGGAGAAGAGAAGGATGGACCAAGTGTATCCTAGGACGGCACAAAGGTGGATCACTCCAAGGCCTTTTGAGTCATATTCCTTAGTATTGCGGTTCTCGATGACCTTCTCCAAAAGCCACTCCTTCAGCCTATTTTTCAGAGTAAGCTCAAAAAGATGGTCCCTCGCTTGATCAAACGGCACCTCATTCGCCTGGATTGACTTCATTAAATACGCCCAACTGTTTAAGAGATGGGAAGTCCTGCTGGCGAGTTTCTTAGCCTCTAGCAGATTATCAGGTGAGATTTTACTAGTTAAAACGCTGATTTTATTAGAAGAAGTGAACAGAAGATGAGCAAGTCTGACTTGGAACTCAAATTCTTCCCACTTGTGTAGCTGGTCGTCTTGAGGGATAGCTTTTTCAATTACTGGAACTGAGCGGTATTCGAAGCTGAATAATTGGCTGACCGGCTTGTTTCCATCGACACTCAGATAAAGGTTCACCACCCCAGGAGACTGCGGGGGAAGAAAGCAACGATAAACCCCCAACTGGAGAAATTCTGCGGGGACACGTAACTCTCCACATATGCAGAAGAGGTTTGATCTCCCAAAATGTTGAAAGCTGTCGTGAAAGAACCCAGTTACAAGAATCTGCAAAATTAACGACTAAAAGGTCAGCCTTTTACAGCTAGAATTGCTTATTTGATCCTCACACGTAGTTTTGATACGCATTATGTAATAGAGACAGTCTGAAATTGTTATGCTTTACCTATTTAAGTTTCATTTTGTGAATCACATCATACACAATTTCATACTACAAACATACTATGAAACTTAGCCATAAGAGATGCATAAGATTTTTACAAAAACACACGCAGTAAAGTGAGACACACTGTTATTTTGATATTATCTTCTCAATGGGCAGAATTTGATTTGTTGTCTTGATAATTTATTACCCTCTTCTTTTAAACCAAAGTGTAAAGAGTGAAATTATCTTCTTTCCCTTCACTTATGGTGACATGATTTTTTTTAAAAAAGGTATTTTAGAAAAAAATGGTACAGAAACCTTTGTTTTCTCTGTCGAATAGGCCCAGGCAGGTGAAACATCAGTTATGTTGAATACTTGCTCCGGTACGTTAGAGTGGGAATGTGATACAGCAGTAGTAGATGATTCCTGCCCAGGTGTATATACAGCTTCAAGGGAAGGATCATCCACGGAACCAGGAGAGTCACTAATGAAGTTGTTGACCCACCTTCCAAAACTATCCTGACTTCCATAGCCATTATTAAGTAAAGCATCACCTGGTTGATCGGCAACTGTTGCATTGGAATTCCTTCTCTGTAGAATTGATTCTACTCCACAGTGCACATGCTGACTAGAAAATTCTCCTGCACCACATGAGTTATTATTTTGATAAACAGGATCTTCAAGACCGGGGAATGATGGTATATCTACTGATCCGTTGTAGCCTGCAAGATGATTTCCCTGCACAATGAACAAGATGACAAAACAATGAACAAAATGACAAGATGGTTAACATGAAAACAGCTAAAGCCACTTGCAGGCTGGAAAATTCCATGTACTCACTTGCTTTGCAGATCCCCTAGGTGCCGTTTCGAGCTGTTCTGTGAAGTATAGCATATCTTCTATAAACAGAGAACAAACAAAAAGAAAAAGCGAAGTATTTTCAGCATCATCTCATAGCTTTTATTTTTACAAAGAAGGGAAGTTATAAAAGATAAGCTCAAGTAATATAAGTACCTTCAGTTGGATGAGAATGGTTGCTAATATCTGCTGGTACTAGAAGCTCATCCCAATCAAGCGTGTTGATCTCATGAAGCCTAATCTCATGATTTCTAGCACCAAGACTGTTGCTGCGCACTTCAAACCCTTAAAAAAGAGTGTGATTAATTTTCCCCCTTCTACGAAATCTCCAAATGAACAACATAGTATATTCATGAAATTTTTTGAAAGTCCAAAACAATTGCCAATATACGCCAAACTGTACCAGCTCAAAATTATGAAGAGACACATTCTCACCTGTATTACAAGTATTACGGACAACAGAATTGATATCTTCAGCCACAAGTTTTGGTGATAAGTGGTCAGAGATCGAACTTGAGTACGAGTTTCCAGGTGTTGCTGGAGCTGCCTGAGCCTGTTTAACCAAAATTCCTCAGAGGGCAGCAAACAGATATTTATCTTTTATAACTAAAATCTGCCAAATGAAGGCTGTACTCTATCCGACAGCAAAAGAAACATCATCTTAATCTATAACCACCTCTAATATAAAAAAAATAATGAAAAAGAAGCAGGGGACAGGTAGAAAACAAACCTCATGTGTCTCGCGATAGTGGACAAGAACTATGTGCTCCTGAGACCTGCCATTACAGGAAGAGGTGGTTTAATTCCAGATACTATCAGAAACAAAGCAACGGATGGAATAACTGTTTCCTCAAAAAATAAAAGAATAAACTTTTGTTGAGACATACTTATCCAACAACCAGTAACACCTTCGCACAAATGTAGGGTTATCATTGCCATGGGCATAGTAAACATGAATCCTTTCTTCGTTACCCACCTGGAGATGGAAGAATCAAAATATTCAGAGATCACAAGGAACATATATATTGGCTGTAGACTAAAAAAAAAACTGGCATATGAGCTCAAAAGAAACTCACTTTTAGGTGTTCATGAGCTTCCTTAATTGTTTTTCCATCCTTTTTCTTTTTCCAGTTATGACCATCCTTTCTAAAGTTCCTTAACATCTTACGGTCGAACAACACAATCGTACCACCTGCCAAATATGAACATAGTTAGAAAATTTGACAGAATAGCATCTCTGATTAAATCTTACATTACAAAAAATAACAGACAAACCAAAAGAACAAAATTTGAAACATGAGAAAGGAAAAAAAAGATTACTTTTGGGCAAATTCACTGGTTTGACATTGATGGTGAAGAATTTATGGTTGCAAAGGAGAGCATGGATCTCGTTAGGCCGGAGCCACCTAGTGTAAGCTTCATCCAACATAGTTTGTATATCCAGATCTGCAACACACACAATTCCAAAACTATCAATACTCGACAAGGAGACATTAAGAATGAACCCATGTATATCCACCACCATGGATGCATCTAATTTTGTTTTCCATACTGATGAACATTCTCATCAACATATTCTTTTAAACCAAGAATTTGGCATGTACAACGACAAGTCTCTCCAGATGATCAAAATCTCTGCTTTTTAATTCACTCAGTATCAAAGTTTTCTCTAACCAATTAATTCTCCAAAATGTCAATGAATCACACAAGGCAGCCCCCAAACTCTACAATCATCT